AAGTCATAATTGTTTAAAAATTATAAATGTTTTGGTAAATCGTCCTTAAGACTTGTTATTGATTGTTGTGAAACGAGTCAAAGAGTAAAAATGAACAATTGAACAATTTGGTACAGGAGTTAGTCAGAATCATAAACTTCAAAGGATGGTTCTGTGGCGCTGGAATGTCGTGTTAACGTTAGTAGAGCGTGTATACGAAGTTATGTCAACTTTTACCGACAAAAAGAGTCGAGCCTGAAAAGGGATAGGTTGTGACCGGACGGTTAAATCGTTTGATTAGCTTTTACGGTCGCCACCTGCTTTCACCGCCAAGCAGGAAGGATACAACCTTTTAGGTCTGTTTCAAGAACGGACTCACCAAACAGATGAACATCCGCCTTTGCCCTTGGATTTCCTTTGACTATGGACCCTGGACGATTGACGCGAACAACGGGCTTCTGGTACGGCCCAGGTTTCACCAAAGTTCAAGTAGTGAGAAATAATCATACACTGAGTTTATGGTTAGATAGTTTATAAATTGTTTATTAACACTTGTTACGAATAACAATTTTTTTGTGTTACAAAATTGTAAAACGCATTCTTAACAACCGTTTTTTTCGGTATCGCGATCTTTGTTACTTTTGAGCAAGACGATGGTTCTGCGTCCGATTTCTTCGGATGCTCGTACAAGCACTCTTTATTACGTTGAGCAGGGCTCGTAGTTAGAGCGCTATGCTCTCTTGAGCTTGATTTCAACTGCTGCGCGGCGCGATCGTCTCTGCCAAGAAAGCTTGCTTTCCCCTCCCGAGGATCGCGCATGCGCAACCCGCTTCAAGAATAAGCCTACCGAATTATTGATGAAACTTTGCTGAGCTGTTTTTTTACCTAAACCACGTCCACTGACGAAGTTTCACCCATAACTGATAATTTTACACAAAGCTAGCACAAATTTTGGAAACTCCAATTATTGAAATTTACTATCAGCAAAGTCCCATCAACACTTGAGAAATTCATTCCCGAGATTTCACCAACAATTCACAACTTCTTTCTTTGTTTCAGATCGAGTCATCGATGGATAAGGATCCCAAGTAAGTAAGTACTAAAGTACTTATTAATACACCAATTATTGAAAATATTTAGTGTGGAGTCTTCTTCATCGAAGCTCATTTCACCCTCGAAATATCACTCATAATTCTAATCTTGTTTCTCTTTTACAGATGTTGTCAACCCTTGAGAATCTACCAGATCTAAGGTAAGTACAAAGCGTCAATTATTCGTTAAACTCGCAGTATCGTTTCTACAAAAGATGCTTTTTACGCACGCCAAGTATTACCAATAATTCAACTTTTAGTGAGGGTTAGGCTTGACGAACACTGACAGGGTTAGGACCCTAACTTCCAATTATTGATAAAACTCGCCTGAACGCCTAATTTAAAGAAGAACAGTACGTATGCGAAGTCTTAACAATAATTACCAACGCAAACCAAAACTAACACTAACGTTCAATTATTGATGAAACTCGCTCCAGCGCCTAATGTAAAAAAGAGTAGCACGCACACATAGTTTCGCCAATAATTAGCAACAAACAACAAAGTTGGTACTAACACACAAATATTGACAAAACTCATTCATACGCTTAGTCTAAAAAAGAGTAGTGCGTACACCAAGCCTCGTCAATAACTACCAACGCCAATTGATGGTAGCCCTCAAAACCTAATTATTGCTGAAACTCATCTAAACATCCAATCTAAAGAAGAAAAATACGTACGCAAAGTTTCCGCAATAATTAGCAACCCAAACTTAGGTGTTACATATGGACGCATCGCAAAGAGGTACACCAAACTGAGGTAAGTACAACAAACTTGCTGAATTCTGTGAAACACTTTGTTCAACTATTTTTCACACAAACGCCTACTCGCACACGCAATACCACTGACAACCGTACTTTCAGGTGATGCTAGTCGACGGTGGACAAAACTACCCGAGGTAAGTCTAACTTTGTAATTATTGCTTAAACTCGGAGAAACGTTTCACCCAACGTAGACCCGCACGCGTGTTAAATCTGTTTACTTACGAACATCAGCAATTTAACGAAGCGTAAGCAATAATTCATAACGAGGCGTTTTGCTAACTCTTTTTTCTGTTTTAGGTAACTGCCCAACTATCCAGGAAAAGAAGACGACTAACTCGGATGAACGGAGCTAGTTTCAACAACTACAGGTAAGTATACAAAACTTTATTAACCTTAATTATTGTTCTTCTTTTTCAGGGAAGCTTTCTTCTGGACGAATAGTCGGTTACTGCAGTTATACCAATAATTACCAGGTTAAGTTTTACGAGTTAGTATCTAACTTTTTAATTATTGCTCATACTCAGCCAGACTGATGATCAACTCAAATCAAGCTTACTTACAAAGTTATAGCGATAATTACACACTGCCTCGCAAACAATGTTTGTTTCAATCCTGACAAATGTCAGTTCAGCGAGTAGACCCTCTCTACTTGGGTCACTCTGACTAACAAAACTAAAATAAGCTAAATAACTTTATGATTATAACTTGGGCGTTATGCACCCCGGATCTGTATCCCTAACTAAACTTAAATACACGGAATACAGTCCGCTCTGACAATAAAATAAAATAAACTATTCATTATCACTTAATGTCTTACATTGGTTTGAGTGCTCTTATTTTGACACTCCTAGTCACCTTCGGTGGTTATCGGCCTCTGAGCTGACTTCACGCCATCCGATGCTTCCTCCTGTGCTAGAACTGGAGCGTCCAAGCCTTTTACTGCGTACTTGAAAACTGAGCTCCTCGATTGTGATATTCGCGCTGCGAGCACTCGAGAACGACTGAGGCAGTCCGCCGCTTGCTGCGCCGCCAAGACACCGCGCACGCGCAGTTCACTTTTCCGCCAAACCCTGCAAATCTGAATGTTTGAAAAAACCACTTTTCTCATCTAATCTATTGATTTTACCNCTGATTGCTTTCATTTTCAAAACCTTTTCGGCTTTCCTTTAACCAACCAATCAGCGTTCAGCAACCCAAAATTAGCAAAGTTTGAGCAGAGAGAAGAATGAGAGCGGCCAGGCCCATAAGAGTTTTTACGATCGCTATACCGGCCCGTAAGCTAGCGCATGTCCATGGGTGGTGCACATTGGCAACTACGTAGCGATGTCCACGAGCGACTTGTCGATA